CAGAAGTTTTACCATTCTGTTAGAAACACCATCAAGTCCCGATGAATTTTTATTGTTCAAACTACGTACAACCTTTCTCAGGTCTTGGACTGTGAAGATCAGGTCGGAATTGGAACAAACGTACTCAGCATCATCTGGATCAGCATCTCTCAATAAATTCCAGATATTCACTGCCGAACGATCAATATCTTTAGACATATCCATCTCAGGCATTTCGAAACGGCTTCTAAAGTGGCTTGTCAGGCATGCAATAATTTCATCTGGTGTCTTGTAAACAGTGTTATTTTCCGACAAGGCCGTGAATTGAACTGACTGATTCTTATTGAGGACCTTAACTGTATATTGCTTGTTCGCAAGACAGAAAACTTTATTCCCGCTTAATTCCATGAAAATTCTCTCCATCGGAGGGAGAGTTCTGTAGACGTTAAATAACGTCAATGTGTCATTTTGTCAAAGCAACTAGTATGGGGAAGGATTCTCCAATAAATAAGCAGCGTGATCGTTAGATGTGCAGAGTGATAGATGATGCTGCGTAGCAGCGGAAAATATTAGTTTGGCGGACATACATACGCACATTCGTGGATAGGTCTGTAGCGAACGCCGACCGAAGGGAGGTGTGAGCGTTGTCTTTGATTCATAGTCATCGAAGGTCGTCAGATTTAAGTTCCTCAAGTCACGAGATCGAGCGAGTGCGGACGAGTCGACTATGAAAAATCAGAAAATGACTATGAGCGACCTCTACAATCGATTCTGTTGGTCGGAAAGTGCAGTTTCAATTTGATTGGATATAAATGGTATTCCCTTGACTGTACTAGAAGGGGTCTTCTCCAGTTAAAATGCCGCTATATTTGTATGTATGTCCGCAGCCTAGATACTTGCGACACAGAGATTATTAGCGGACAGATGGACACACTTATATACGTGCCCAGGGGAAGCTTCTGAGAAACGAAGGGAATATGAGGGTCAGTGTAGGAAAACCAGTAAATTTTGTTGCGGCATCTATAGTTTGTTGATCTAGTCCTACTCCTTCGTTTTGCGAACATGTAATAATGTGTGCTCTTCCTGTGGCTCTCGTATCTTTCTCTATTCCTTCTTCGTTTTTTTCTATTAAATTTACCCGATATATGCTTTGCACATACATAACAAAAGAACGTTGTAGATAAACACCGTAATATCCTGTCTGAATATCATGACCCCGAAGAGAAAATGGGAAAATCATGATAGTTCAGAAAGTCCATCGAAAATTTTCATTGAAACCAACGTTCTCGTATGTTGAGCAGTGATATTAGCAGTCGTATAACTCGAAAACTGAACCGTATCTTTTCCTACAACTCGAAATGCTAACGAATTCCGGATGTCTCTAGAAAATGTCTTACTGTTTTTATATGAAAAAAAATTAAGGTTAAGCTTTTTTCTGAAATTTTCTCTTCTGTCATAGATAAATAATTTATATTTAATGTTATTTCTTTCTCTATTCTTCGCTTAACAATAGATGCTGATTAAAACAGTTTCGTAACATTAAATAACACCGGTTAAATGTAAAAATCAATTAAGTCAAGCATGGTACAGAAAAGAATATATATATAATGTTCTTTGTATTATATGATAGTTCCGTATTCCTTTTTCGGGCAGAATGAACAATATTTTTCTCAATTTTCTTTCCAATCCAGTTGATGGTGAATTTATTCACCGGTGAAAGTATTTTCCGAAGAATAAATTCACCGATGCGAATTTTGACGGCTTCCCTAAGTAATGCCATTATTTACAGTCAAGGGATTCGGCGACTCTCAGTGAATGTTACTTCTGACTCAATGTTTCCTTAAATGGATAAACCGTGTATTCCAAATTTAATCAATCTATTTTTAACGACAAATAGCATTTTAACCTAGAAGAGACAAGACCTTGTTAGAAGTATGAAGAAAAAGGTTTCTAATTACACCAAGTTTTCTGTTTCCTTCCAGATGAAAGAACAATATTCTTGGACACCATTTGATTGTGTGAAAACAGTAACAGAAAAACATTCTCAAACCAAAAACAAGTATGAGCGTGCACAAATATCAATCAGGAGAGTGTTTTTCAGTTCATTAACATTGCGAACTATGACTTTCATTCAAGCCAGTAAAGAATCTGTTTCCGGATGAATTGTTCCTGTCGAAGCATGTAATTGAAATGGTAATTGTGCAACCAAGAAATGTTCTTGCGGGGGAACAAGAACTTAATACGTTATAAAATCTCATCCAAGTAAAAAATACTCTGTTAGAATCTTTGGTTTAACTGTGCTTGTTCATCACTCATCTTTGTTTCGTGTGGAAGAAAAAGTAGTAAAATACAGTTTAGCGGTCTGAAATGAAAGCAAAAGAAACGATCTTTGACCAGAGAAGTAATATCTCCTAGAAGAATTTCAAATTTTCCTCGATTTCAGTTTCTCTTGTGATATATGCATAGTTTATACCATATAAGAACTCATTGATAATTAGATAAAATGATTGATTATGTTTTTATGACAGCATAGGATATGTATGATTAAAGGAACATTTATAACAATTTATCTTCTACATGACGTCAATAGTAGCACTAATCACTAATAACTCTTACTCGCTCTGTTCGAAAGGAGTCAAAAACTATCTGAATATTTCTTTAAAAAAGAAAAAAGAAAAAAATACTTTTTTTCTTATAATAGAATATAAACTGGTAAGCACGGAGAAGAGGAAGAAAGAAAAGAATATGTACTTTGTATTATTAATCAACTTTTAGCAAAAAAGAAATAAACGTAAGCATTCCCAGGTGTATTACATGTTGCCTAAATTCTATATTACGTCTAAGTTTGTCGAACAAACATGAGACGGTCGAATACGCAACCATACTCAAAATATGATGTTGCATCATTAGATAAAAGCTTAAATTCAATGTGTATTATGTTAGAAACGCAAGATGTCCATGAGTCTAAAAGTGTTGATTTAACAATTGGTTTTCTATTGAAACCATTATTAACTGTAATGAAATTAACAGGTTTATACTATGAACATTCATCAAAATCAGATAAACGAAAACAGAATCAATTACAATTTGTCTATTGTCTATTTATTTGCTTTTTATTATGGTGCAATACATTAAAATTTATATCCGTATTTCTCTTAACTAATTTTAAAGATAGAACCGCACTACATTTACCATCGTTCATGCTAACAGTTGTTGCGCAATTATGGTTACTACTTTGTTCTTGTACACAAACGACTTTCATTATTAGTTCATATCAAAGGAATAAATTTTATACAATTATGTTTGATTATACTTTTTGTAAATATATTGAATGTCAATCGAGCATATCAAAACGCTTTAAATTTGGAATATATTCGGCGACTATACTATGTTTGATTACTATCATATCTAATACATTAGGATTGTTTATTGCCTATTTTGGTCCATCTGAATATATGAAAGTATTTCAAATGTTCTTAGCACCCTTTCATCAAAAATCGACGATCACACACAATATACCTTATAAATTATTTATTTGTATATTACAACTTTATGAATCAGCAGCGTGGACTTTACCGCCAACTTTATTTTCTATTCTATGTCTAATTGGATACAGTGAATTTGAAAACTTCAATGAATATATTAAACAAGAAGTTCAACAGGCAAATGCACAACAACGGGTTGAATATTGGCGTCAGTCTCATAATAGATTAATAAAACTTGTTCATACGTTGGATTCAACGTTTCAAATCTACGTTAGTGTCGCTCTAAGTATCAATATTGTTGTGGCATTTCTCATGTTGTATATAATAGCAATGATGTAGACATATCGACCAGATTTGGGAATATTAGTCATTGTGATGGTCATTTTTTGGGCATTTACCAGTATGTTTTATGTTCTTGGTGTATCGATTACAGCTGGACTATTAAATTCAGTTGTAAGTAACCGTTTCATTTTATTGCAGCTTGAATGATGTGTTTTGAGTGTCGGTTTTAGACTCGGGATTCTTTAACTTATTTACATCAGTTACCGGCCACTGGATGTTCGATTGACTTCAATACACAAGTAATTCAATTTAATTTTAATCTAAATTAATTCTTTTTGATCATTTTTAGCAGCTAAATTTAATTTAAGTTTATTTATTCAAACGTGAGCTTTCGAGTCAGTAAGAGCCACGATTAGATTGAGGTAAAGTGGAGACAAACAGTTTAAGAACAAACTATAAAAGTTGGGATTTCCAAAGATTCTGGAGTTTTGGAAAAAAATTTCTAAACAGCTTATAGTTAAGTAAAAAGTTTTCGATATGGCATTCCATGAAATAATTTTGATACCCTAACGCAGGTTAGCATGCGTTAAAAAAGAAGTTTTCGAGAAAATTGTGTTTGAACGGGTTAAATTTTCAAATATGACGCGTGCTAACGTTTCTTCGGAGCGGTAA